GTCACTCATCTCAAGACCGTGAACATTGTGGCTCAAGATCCGATAAGACAGCATGTGACTGAGACCAAGAGAGCAGGAAAGTTTGGGGTAGGGGTTGAGTTACAGCACAGTAGACATGGGAGGTTGGATTTAGCTTTACATCTCAAAATACATTGAAGACTTTTGGAAATCTGTGCAGAATGTATATTCTTTGCAAATTTAAGAGGTATCACATAAGTGCAGTTTTCTTTTCTTGTTTTGGGGGAAATCATGTAAAAAAAGCAGACCTTGTCATAATTTATATTATTTGATTTAGATTATAAATATGATCTTCTAAGTTTTCAAGAGCAAGTAATAGGTACAGCCAATGTGTTGGGGTCTCCATGGTAGAACTTCAGAGTGCTATCCACCTCACCTGGTAAAACTGAGTAAAATGATCTGAGTGACTGGTACTTTGTATAAGAGAAAAACCTTTAACTTTTATATATCATTTGGGGTAATATGCAGTGCATTTGCCTAAAACAGATAAGTTTAAGAGAATTCTCCCAGATGCTCATGTAAAATAAGCAAGCTAGTACTGATGACTCCTAATCCAAAATTACAAGCAATTCCAAGACCATGAAGGAAAGGCATAAAGGGTAGCAATGTACAGAGACTGGCTAGTATGGTGCTTCAGTGGAGAGGAAGATTAAAGACTGGCAGCGATCTTAGGTCCTCCATGCCTTTGACTTGAATTCACAGAGAGGAGAAGAGGAAGTTAAGCACAAATGTGTGGTGATCTTTTACTTGTGCATTAATAAATAAAGCTTGCCTGGAGATCAGGGGGGAAAGGCCAGACATTTTTAGTAAAAAACGAAGTCAGGCAGCACATGCCCTTAATCCCTTAGCAGGCAGGATCTCTGTGTGTTCAAGGCCACATTAGGGAACAGAGCCAAGCATGGTGACACATGCCTTTAATCCCAGTACCAACCATAGAGACCTGGTGGTCTGTATAGACAGACAGAAAGTGACAGAGCTGTGTAGGAAGAGAAAGTGAGGTAGCTGGGCTAAGATAGCCAATGAGAGGGCAGAACAGCAAGGCAATAAAGGTGTGGGTAGACAGGAAGTAGCTCACCTTTGGAAGCTGCAGAGTTGGTGAGGTGAGGTTGGCTGGTGGTTTTCCCTATTTCCCTGATTTAAGGCTTTCACCCCATATTTCGCTTTGTGTTTTTAATTTAAAAAGACCATTTAGAAATTCACCTACACAAATGGGGCTAGACAAAGACAAAATAAGGCTTGAAGAAAGGAAATGGAGGATAGAAAAGGACTAAGAGAGGAAAAAAATTTGTTAGAAAGAAGAAACAATTGAGCAAAACTTCAAGGATAGGGAACTGCTAGTTAAAAAAAAAATAAAGACTTGGAATTACAAGAACTCAGGCACCATCTGAGATTTGGGAAGGCCCGAGTTTTCATAATTCCAAGTCTTTTTAACAAAATTTTAACCATAATGTTTAATACCTGGCTCAATGGAATCCCCACTGGAATTATACCCACACTGCATTATAGGTACTTGGCAGTTCTGGTAACCTCGTATCCCATAGTTGGCCACCACACAGCCCTAGCTTCCCAAGCACTTCAACAGCAGAGAGACTACCAAACACACAGTACTTTGTGTTACCTAAATTGAAATCAGTAGTTGTTCCCAATTATGAATACTACTTAAAAAAAAAAAAAACCTGGAGCTTGAGTTACAAGATGATGTGAGCCATTTGCCATGGGTTCTGGGGATTGAATTTGGGTCCTCTATAAGAACAACAAGTGCTCTCACCCATGAACCACCTTTCTAGGCCCCTATTTTATTTTTATTATATTTATGTGGGGCAGGGGTTCTGTGCCCATGAGACCAACACTGAACTTTTTTTTTTTTTTTTGGTGCCTTTTTCAAGACAGGGTTTCTCTGTGTAGCTCTGGTTATCCTGGATCTCAAGTCTGTAGATTAGGCTGGCCTCCAACTCACAGAGATCTACCTGTCTCTACCTCCTGAGTGCTAGGATTAAAGGCATGTGGCACAACCACCTGGCTAACACTGATTAATTTTAAGGGACACATTTCAAAATCAACTCTAAAATCGTTTTAGGAAACCAATGTTTTCTTTAAGTGCATCATTGCTGTTTATGGGTTTTATCCAGGGATGCTTTAGAAATATCAATCTAAAGTTTGTTTTCATGCAAAGAAACATGCTGCTGTTCTCACAGATAGAATTTACCAAAATTAGTTTGTCCCACAATAAGCCACCACATCACACCCCCAGGAATAGTCACTGGCCAGATCTGTAGCCTGCAAAAGTGAGAGATAGATTCAGGTACCACTAGAAGAAACATACTTGTGATAGTGTGGACATTTTCAACCAGCTCAAATTAAAATAAGTACAGTTCTTATGAGTCACAGTGTAAAAATCCTAAATGACTACACTTTAAAAGGGCACAGTGTGCATAATGCAGATGTTTTGAGGCTAGGCCAAAATTGCTGTCCTTGCTTGACATTTTGAGCCTCAAATCAGTAACAGGCCCCAAATACATGAAGAAAATTAAACTGATCTCACAGTCACAACATAAGGCCAGGCCTCTTACTTATCTTTCTACCTGTGCACCCATACATACATCCGTCCATACATAATAATGTTAGACACATCAATACATTAGTACACATTGAGTACTCACTTCATGTCAGATACCATATGACATATTTTACTCATATTAAACCTCACAACAATTTTATGAGGCTGTTACAGTTAAGATGTCCATTTTGGGGAGCTGAAGAGATGGCTCTACAGTTGAAAGCAATTGTTACTCTTGCAGATGACCTGGATTGATCCCCAGCACCACATATGGTAGCTCACAACCATCTATAACTGTAGTTCCAAGGGACTGGACTCCTGCCTCTGAGATGTACAGGAACCAGGCACACATGTAGTACAAATAATACATGCAGGAAAAAATATATATACATAAAATAAAATAAATAATAATTGTTTAAAGATTTATATTTTTCAGATGAAGAAATGCTTAGAAGTTTAAGTAACTGTGCCAGTTCAAATAGCCAGATGGACTAGGATTTGAAGTCTGAAATTTTCTGACAGGTTCTATGCCCTAACTAGTTTGTGGTATAGGAGGGCAGGATTTGTTTTCTTCAAAATGGAAAGGAAGTCTCTGACAATTACTGTGTTTCCACAAAAGACTTACTGGGATTTATCAAGGCAAATGTCAGATGATTCACAACACAAACAAAAAAGAACAAATAAAAATCATCTTGCTATATTTTCCTAGTAGTTGTGAAATTGAAAATAGGATGGAAAAGCTAAATCTGAAGCACAGAACAGGAGGATGAGCTGGCAAGGCTGCTCTGTGCTCCCTGTGAGGACTCCTCCTGAGGCTGGCAAACGTGCTCACAGTAGTGTCAGGGGCAGATACCAAAGAAGACCCGAAAGGGAAATCTCAGTGGCCACCGGTCAATGTACATGCTTCAAGTAAAAGTGTTAGATGAGCACAAATATTCTGCTCACTTGTGAACAAACAGATATAGAAAGGCAAAAACAACAACAAAAATGTAACTTGGTCCTGCATTTAGTATCAAGAAGGAAGGAATTCAGTGACTAACATGTTTTAAGTACACAGCCAGTTCCCCCCAAGGAAGGAGAAAAGACTCCAAAGCCCACAGCATCACAAAGCCAGATTCACAGCAAGGGACCAGCCAAGGCCCTTAGCAGGAAAGCTTATGGGATGGCACTCAGCCATCGCTGCTAGTTTTACTAGCTAAAGGCTATATCTCACCACTTTATTTTCTAATCAAATAAGAACACTAAAAGCCCTAAAAATATTGCTCAAAACTCATACCTTTGTGGAGATCTTGCCAGAGACAGTAAAACCAAAGGGACTGGGTGATAGCTGAATTTGGAATGAAATAGCAGATAAAAGATTGCTTTCATTCCAAGCAGCTACTCCAATAATTCAAGTTTGAAACTAATGTAGTTAAAATAACAAGGGTTGAGTCATAGTCCTTACAGGCTTCACAGACAAACCACCTAGAAGCACCTGTGCCCCTCTGAGTTACCTCTAGGACTATTTTTTTCCATGTCACACAACCTAAATATTAGAGCTGTCCTAGTGGACTCTTGGGCCCAGGCACTAAGGAAAAACATTGTTATTGTAAGTTTGGTTTTGATCTCTTGATGTTATTGTTGGACATCTTAGCAGCCTGGAGGGTAAAATAACTTGCTTTGTTTTCCTGCTAATCGGCCAAACCCTGCTTGGCATACACTGTGCTGGCTTTTGCTGGTGAGTTCCTGCACTGGTCGGAGTAGATTAACTGAGGCTCCTAGGAAAAGACACAGTTACTTGAAATTGTTAAAGAAGTTAAAGGTTCTGACTTTTTCCAATATTAGAACTTGAATTATACTTTCAAGTGTGCAAGGGAAACAAATATACTTTCACTCCCCCCTTACAGGATAGTACATTTTACTGGAGCTCAGAATTTCAAGCAGTTGAAACAAAATGCATCCAAGTAAATATGTGCTTTTTTTATTCCTTTCCCTACCATGATTTTAGATATGTACCTCTCTCTCTGAAAAACACCCTAAGAGTAAAAAGGTAATTTCAAGCTCAAAAATACTGCCTCCTTGATTTTGCAGAAAACAGCACCCCTCCATATTACCTATAAAATGAGGATCACAATCTTCAGATGATGGGGGTCAGGGAGACCCTCAAGGTAACTCCATTTGTGAGGCTCTGAAGAATCTAGTTCATGATAAAGAGCCACAAGAGAGGAAGTGAAATTTATAATGATGTCAATGAAATATCTTTATACACAAACATACATATATATTTATAAGTTCCACTTAAGTGAGGACCAAAGAGGAGGAGAAATATTGTAATAAATAATGCCAAAACTGCAGAGAAGCATGGCCTTCTCTGACTGCAGCAACTTAACCCAGTGCCTGTCTGGAAGCAGGTGACCCCACAAGGGAGACAGCGCCTGTGCCTTACCTGCGCAAGTTTTCCCGTCGTAGGTCTCACACACCCACTCGTGGCACTCACACAGCGGCCCGAAATAGGTGCCAGGTTCGGTCACTTGACAGATGCAGACCCCGCACTCGCACCGGCCACGGCCATGACACAGGGCGCCCCCTGGGGGCTGCCCAGGTGCACGACATCTGCGCTCGGACTCCGCCCTAGACAGCCTGCAGGGGGCGCCGGACAAGCTTCTGCATGAGATAAGAAAGGCCCCAGGCAGGCCACGGTCAGACACAGGCCACGCCCCTTCTTCTCCCAGCCCACTCTCCCCCTCAACGCCTGAGAAGAGACCTCCAGCCTCATTGTTTTGTGGGCCAAGCACGCCTCTGAAGAGCTGGGTTTTAACCATGACTCGAAACAGAACCTTCCAAGTAGACAGAGGCGACGGCCCCTTGCTCCTTGGTGGAATGCCACTTAATCTTAAATGCACATTTTGATTAAATGCAAATTAGTCTGAAGTATGATACTTGGCTGGCTTTTTGTTCCTTCTTTTTAAAAATGCCCCGTTATTATCTGATAGCTAGATGGAGATTATTTCGTGAAAAAGAAGAAATGACGGGTGAATGTATAGAAAAAGTTTTATGTATCAAGTATAAGATAGGGAGAAATGCTTTTAAATTGTGTTTGAAACAGGCCTTAAGAATTCTACTTTTCAAAAGTTGAAATGGAATTCATTGTCTCTTTCAAAATGCAGTACAAGATGTGGCAGGGCCATCCAGCATGTTAGAAAGTGCTATATTAGAAATTGGAAATAAAGCTGCTTTACAGACTGGGGGAACACAGGTGTGCATAAGTACATCTTTGACTTGAGGTAAAAAATCCACCCCCGCCCTTACACATTTTTGCAAAGGGGGAAATGATATTTGATTCAATGAGTATTTTTCCAAAGAAAAAGTGAAAGAACAGATATGAAGCAACACCAAGGCAAGATAGAAGGGGAGAAAATGCAGAACAGGTTGAAAAGAGTTTATCCCGGGTCCAACTTGGTCTTGCAAGCTTGAGTTCTGCCACGTACAGCACAGCAGGTCTGTCTCAAAGCATAATAAACCAGACTTACCTCAGAGACGGTGAGAAGCTTTGAGGACCAGCTGACAGCCCAAGGACTAGAAGGGAGGACACCAGCAACAAGAAGTTCCTGAAGCCTGGGGGATGCATGCTGAGCTGCAGGGCTGTGCAGGCAGGTGGGCAGGCCAGCTGCTTGGCCTGCCGCAAGGTGGGGCTTTCACAGGAGGCAACAGGAGGGGGAAGTGTCACCAGCAGATGTCCAGCAGAAGGACTCGGGAGGGACACCCGAACTCGCAGGCTCTGGGCTCCTCCTGGAGGCTCAGTTGCCTGCGAGGACTTGGGCAGTGGAAGCGCTCTGGGCGGGGTACAAGTGCCAAACTCCTCCAGTGGAGAGTCTAGGAGGGAAGTAATTAGAAACAGTTGTACAAGCAGATGGTTTATTTTGACATTTTAAAAAAGTATCCTGTTCACAGATTTGAAAAAAAATCACTTCTTTCTGCAAGTATAGGGCCCAGAAATATTTAACAAGAAGATATTTGGGTTAGCTGATTAAAAAAAAAAAAAAAGGCACCGTTAAAATAATTCCTGAATTGTGAAAATGAAGGAGGGGGAGGACGGGCTATGGGTGAACACAGCAGGGAACTGCTTTCACCAGCTTTATAAAAGATGCCCAGTGGCAGTGTGAGTGATGCAGGCAAACAAAGCTAGCAAACACAATTCTGTGTAATTATTAAGCTTTATTTTTAACCATGGGTATTTTGTTCCTTAAGTATCTAAAAAAAAAAAAAGTACATTTTTCTTCCAGTTATTCAAGCCAGTTTCTTATCATAGCCACATTTTTTTTCCTAACTTGGACAGTCCAAATTAAGATCGTTCCAAATCCACTCCATTTTCTCCTGTGATATCAGTATGCAGAAACAAAATAAAATATCTGACTACAATGTGATTTGCACTAAAAAGAAAACAATCAGTGACATTTCTTAGTCACCTACTCAGTGCCAGCCTCTAATATTAATTCTGATTGTGAGAATGATCACACATTGTTTGCTAATTACACTTCTACCAGGCACCAGTCTCTGTGCCAGATGGAAGAAACATGCAAAGGGCAAAGGGGCATACTCATTTCTGGGAAGGCAGAGGACTAGTAAATTGTCAATCAAAACAAAAACACCAATTCCAAAGGACCAGAGATTGCCATGAAAAGTTACTTCCTGATTAGATACAGGTGCCAATCACAACAAAGAGGGTAGGAGTTGAGCTGAAGTCTGAAGAAAAAAGAATTAACCTTGATAATAACATTGGGGTGGAAGAGACTAAAGATGTAATTTTATTTTATTCCTACTTTAAAATATAAAGATGAGATGAAAGAAATAAACTGACTCACTGAAACTCACAGGGAAGTTACAGTGGTTCACACATGATCATCCATGTTGTATGGCCAGCTGGAAGAGTATGTAGATAGAAGAAAGTCTTCATTCACCCTATAAAGAACACTTTATGTATAATGGCTCCTCCTGATACTGATGATCCCTAGGAGCATCCATGGCTTTGTAAACCTTAAAGTTAGGCACAAGCTCCTGCAGGTTAGAATTTCCCCTGGCATCTATACAGGTGGGTAAAAGGACAATACATTGCAACCCTTGTAGCTGAAAGTTTTCTTGTGTACTGCTCAGTTCACAGCTGCTCAGACCCAAGTAAACATACAGAGGCTTATATTAATTAAAACTGCTCAGCCATTAGCTCAGGCTAACTACTGACTAGCTCTTACACTTAAACTCAGCCCATTTCTGTTCATCTGTATGTTGCCACATGTTCCATGACTTTATCTGTGTGCCATTACATGCTGCTCCCTGGATGGCAGGCTGACGTCTCCTGACTCAGCCTTCCTCTTCTCAGAATTCTCTTTGTCTGCTTATCCCACCTACACTTCCTGCCTGGCTACTGGCCAATCGGCATTTTATTAAACCAGTGTACAAGAGCATTATTCCACAGCATACCCTGCCTGCTGGAGCAAGAAAGAATAGAAATGCTCTTTAATCCCTTGCATATTTCCCCCTCTGCTTCTATCTGTATGAAGAGGAGCTTTGCATGGATGTCTGCAAACAGCTGACCTTTGTCGGTCCTTAGGTCCATTGAGGGACAGACTTGGAATAGGTGTGCACCACAGGGAGTTGTGGTATTGTATTCCCCAAAATATTGTGCATGCTAATAAACTTATCTGGGGTCAGAGACAGAACAACCACAATATTAAACATAAAGGATAGGCATTGGTAGCACACGCCTTTAATCCTAGCATTTCAGAGGCAGAAATCCATCTGTTCAAGGATACAGCCAAGCATGGTGGCTCATCACGCCTTTAATCCCAGGGAGTGATGGTAGAAAGGAAAGATATATAAGGTGTGGAGACCAGAAGCTAGAAGCATCTGGCTGGTTAAGCATGTAGGCTTTTGAGCAGCAATTCAGCTGAGACCCATTCTGGATGAGGACTCAGAGGCCTCCAGTCTGAGGAGACAAGACCAGCTGAGGATCCGGCGAGGTGAGGTAGCTGTGGCTTGTTTTGGCTCTCTGGTTTTCCAGTGTTCACCCCAATACCTGGCTCAGGTTTGATTTTATTAATAAGACTCTTTAAGATTCCTGCTACAGGGAGTGGTATTGGAGGATTTCTGAGGAGAGAATTCTGAGATATTGGTACCAGAGTGTGACACAGGAAGAAGAGCCTGGGTTCCAAGTTGATAGGTTTCCTGGATAACTGCTCATCCTGTAGAGAGCGGTTTGTTTGAAACAGAGGCTCATGTGAGTTCAGTGGTTGAGAGACAGAATGAGAATCTGGTTCTGAAGTGTGTGGTTCATAGACCAGAAGCATCAGCGCCACTGGGGAACTTACTAGAAATGTGCGTCTTCAGACTTCTTCATCAAACCTGCTGAATCACAGAGTATGTTTCAGTGGTACCCCCAAGAAATCTACTTTCACAAAATGAGTAGAGAAGCCTTGCAATGCATAGGACCCAAAGCTGAGGCTAAGGTGTAGTGGGTAGCCATTCCAGCTTGGATCTGGAAGTTCCAACCCCCATTGAGACTCTGGCAACTGTCACACCTACGAGGCAGGGCCAGGGGAGGCATCTGGAGATCCAAGACCTAGATGGGCGAGCACTCTCTCTGTTCCTGGACCCTAGACAGTGGAGGTTGACTGAGCAGAGCTCCAGAGAACACCACTGGACTGTGATACACCTTCCCCAGACCCTGCGATCTACCTATTCCTTCATTTGTGAGTCACCTGCTAAATAAATCTTCCTTTTAACTACGTGGAGTGGCCTTAATAATTTCACCAATATCTGGCGAAGATGAGGCCCCAACAACAACAACTCTACCCAATCCAGAATGATGCCATGGTAATCATCATCATACTACACTTCTTGCCAGAATTTCAGACAATCTTACCAATTACTCTAAGACTTTCTGCATAACCCACAGTTAGTCTAACTGAGATTTAACTATCTGAGCTTTCTCACAGTACCATCTCCCCCCTTAGGTTTCATATTTCTCAGGGTTATGGATGATAGTTATAGGGTTGGGGGTGAAAGAAAATATTAAACTCAGTATTCTCCTTTAAAAAAAAGGAAAAAGAAGAAATGGAATGGATAGGTATAAGATATTATGGTAGATCATTGTATATACTAGTAAACAAATTTAGTACAATAGCAACCTTAGATAATTTGCACTGTAACTTATACTGTTATAGATTCTTATATGTTGATACAAATGTAAACTATTTTTATACTCCTGTTTAAGATAATTTGTATATTGATACAAATACAGAACTATATTTGTTATAATGTACATAAATTTCTACTCTTATTTGAAATATTTTTATATTGATACAAACATAAATTTATATCTGTCATACTTTATGTATGTTCTATTTCTGTTTAGGATATTCGGTGTATTGATATATATTTAAGATTATTGTCATATTGCATATCACACTACATATTCCTACCTCTGTTTTAAATACCTTGTGTATTGTCACAATTTTGAAGTCATCGTTCTTCACCATACATTTGCTTATAGACTGTTTACCTTGTTTACATGAAGCCTTAGTCCTTAGGTTATTTCGGCAGATAAGACTTATAGATTTATAGTCACCTATGCCTGTCATCTCTATAGTTACATTAGTTAGGTTATCCAGATTTACAGATACATAGGTCAGATGGACAGGTAATCTTCAAACACTTCATAGACCTAGAGAATATGGCATTTAAATAACTTAGAATTCTGTTGACATGAGACACAATTGCTCCTGGCTACACCAATTTGATCCCAAGTGAATGTTGGGCTTCTAAGACATTTCCATTTGGAAGTTTGTCTTCTTGGCACAAAATGGCCTACTGGGCAAAGAACTGCCCTTGCCTTGATGGCTGACAGTACGAATGCAATGCTTTCCTTCCTGGACAAGCGGGACACAAGGAAAGCGACCACTGCACTCTGCCAAGACAGGGTAAGATGGTCTTTCAGAATTGCTGCTTCTGAAAATGGTCTGTCAGATACTCTAGGCCTGTAGCCAATTTGAATGCACCAACAATGCTGAGAAACATTAGGTGACTGTCCAGGCTGCCAGCTGTCTCTGTCTATTCTTTCAAGACTCCCAAAAGTTGCTTGAATCCATCTTCCATTTCTCAGGTACCATTATGTTCCTTCTCAGGTCTTTGATGGGATTGAAGCCTAGTAGTTATAGTTACAACTTAGTATATATAATATCTTATATAGAACATATTAAGTATTAGATTCAGGTTCTTTAGGATAGGACACCTTTTGGAATGATCATTATAACATGCCATTTACCTATGCTCTATACTTCTCTGGATTTTAGTATGTGTTTCTTGCTTGATATTGTCTGCATTGGTTGTAGTTTTATCTTATATAGGTCATTATCACTCATTATTCCTGGGCAATATTTGATAACTATTCCTTTGTATATAGTCTTGTACTAGTTTATAACCTTCTTATTTAGACAAAAAGGGGGAGATATAGTGGGTAGCCATTCCAGCTTGGATCTGGAAGTTCCAACCCCCATTGAGACTCTGGCAACTGTCTCACCTATGAGGTGGGGCCAGGGGAGGCATCTGGAGACCCAAGACCTGGATGGGTGAGCGCTCTCTCTGTTCCTGGACCCTAGACTATAGAGGTTGACTGAGCAGAGCTCCAGAGAACACCGCTGGACTCCAATACACCTTCCCCAGACCCCACGATCTACCTATCCCTTCATTCTAAGGGTGTCTGGATATGCTCCTAGTACAAGCTCTAGCATTGCATTCCTTCCCATAGCAATGGAGACATGTGGATAGGCTTTCCAGCAAACATCAAAGAACCTTGGTGATGAAGGGAAGATG